AAATTTACTTTCGACTGAAAAAAGTTAGACCGAAAAAAAACATTTCGACGGAGTTTGAAAAAGGAGTATTTTTGACCGAAGAAAGTTAGAACAAAGAAAAACAGTTCGACTGAGCTCGACCAAGGAGTACTTTCGACCAAAAAAAGTTTAAGTGAGGAAAAACAATGCGACCGAGTTCGACCCAGAAATATTTTTGACCGAAAAAAAGATAGACCGAGAACAAACTTTTCGACGGAGTTCGACCAAGAAGTATTTGCAACCGAAAAAAGTAAGACCGAGGATAAACTTTTCGACTGCGTTCGACCAGCGACAACCTTCTGATTTTGTCCGGCTGAGGGAATTCAGTTCGACTGAGCTCGATCAAGAAGTATTGTTAACCAAATTACGTTTTCTAATTTTTGTTTTCGCGTTCTTTTTGAGTTTTTGAGTCAACTTCGTACAAATCAAACAACCGACAGTTACTGGATATGCCATAGCAGAAATTTTTGATAAAAATTAAATTAATGTTCATAAGTGAGTTTTTATTTTAGTTTTGCTTAAAATGTTTAAATAACAAATAATTAATTTTCATATAAACTTTCCGAAAACTATATTTTGCTACCGCAGGAGCCCTTTCATCTCAATCTAAGGGACCGGTTGAAACAATTTTTCCTGTAGAAGTGGCGAATCTTCAAATTTTGTTTTAAGTCCTAGGGAAATTTCCAATATCTGAACTTTTCAGCGGTTTCCCAGTTTTAGCCAATAAATTTACTTTTCGAAAATTATCCTGGCAATACTGAGATTTAGCGCTCACTCGAAAAGAAACAGGTTACTGGTTGGTTCAAAAGACATGTTATGAGAGAAATCATCTCCCCAACCAAATTTATTTTCATTTGAAAGAACGGGTACTAGATATAACATATATCTTCCTTACATAAGCGGTTAATCGCTTGTTTTAATGGAGTAACAACTGAAATGTTAGAACATTTCGACGGAGTTCGAAAAAGGAGTGTTTTTGACCGAAAAAGAAGAACCAAGGAAAAAACAGTTCGACTGAGCTCAACCAAAGAGTATTTTCGACCGAAAAAAGTTAGAGTGAGGAAAAACAATGCGACCGAGTTCGACCGGTGAAAACTTTCTGACTTTGTCCGGCTGAGGGAATTCAGTTCGACGGAGCTCGATCAAGAAGTATTGATAAACAAATTATGTTTTCTAATTTTTGTTTTCGCGTACTTTTTGAGTTTTTGAGTCAATGTCGTACAAATCAAACAACCGACAGTTACTGGATGTGTCATAGCAGAAATTTTTGATAAAAATTAAATTAATGTTTAGAAGTGAGTTTTTGTTTTAATTTTGCTTAAAATGTTTAACTAACAAATAATTAATTTTTATATAATCTTTCTGAAAACTATTATTTGCTACCGCAGGAGCGTTTCATCTCAATTTAAGGGACCGGTTAAAACAATTTTTCTTGTAGAAGCGGCGAATCTTCAAATTTTGTTTTATGTCCTAGGGAAATTTCCAATATCTGAACTTTTCAGCGGTTGACAATAAAAATTTCGGTTCACACGAAAAAGTTCAGTCATTTTTGATCATTTCTACGAGAAACTCAATCTGGAGAAAAATGCACAACATTTTGTATGCAAGTTGTTGATTCGGAAATTGTTTGTTTGAGCATGGAGATGCTTTTGCAATAATACAGAAAAAAATGTACGCTGAATTTTGGATTTTTCAATTCGAACGTTTTTCTAGCCATATAGAAAATGTTTCAAAGTTTCTATGACAACTATTTTTTTCTATACACTCAAGGTAGGAATCGTATAATAAGCAATTATTTTTCGCAAAACTAAATGATAAGAGATCAACCCGGTATTTAGTAATAACTTTTTAATTTTACACGTGTTTGGTTCTAACTAGCTAATGTGGCTAAACTGCACAGAAACTGTTATAACCACTGACTCTAAAACATTCTTCGTTTTTTTTTCTGGTAATTATTTAATTATTTAGATACCCAAGTTAGTGAACAGTTTCAAATACTATATTTAATTTTCACTATCTTAAGAAAACTTAATTTACAGTTCCAAAATTTTGCATTTTGGAAAAAATGTGGTTTGAAAAGTTGGAAAGACAGTCGAAAGGCTATAGCGAGATGTATATACAATTTCTCGTCTTAAAAGAAAAAATTGAACGGTTCAGGATATACAAATTTTGTACCTTGAAACGAATCCTCCCCCATGCAAAGTGAGGTGGGGTAGTTACCTTGATCCTGAAAATGTCGCTAGCAGTACATGGTGTTTAAACTTTGAAACACGAAAACTATTCAATGAAAGTTGAAAGTGTTGAACCGGGTCGAGGTGCTCACTTTATATTTAAACTTCCAAGTTCGAGCACATTTCAGTGCTCGACCGATAATAATAGTCAAAACAGGGGTTTGTGTCGAGCAAAAATTCAAAATATACCTCGAGCATGGTTGCGCACAATCGAGAACTGTCGAGCACAGTCGAGCACGGTCGAAACATGCCTCGAGCACGGTCAAAACATACCTTGAGCACGGTCGAAACTTACCTCGAGCACAGTCAAAGCATAACTGGAGCACAGTCGAAACATATTTTGAGCGCGGTCGAAACATACTTCGAGCACGGTCGAAACATACCTCGAGCACAATCGAGCACGGTATAAACATACCTCACAGTCGAAACATATCTATTGTTCCTCTGTAATTCGGAGTCAGAAGGTATTTTTTTTTCAAATATCAACATATTTTTTCAAATATTATCGAAACAGATGGCAAACCAGTCTTCCAAAAGATGGAAAAAAATAACTCAAAAATAGTTCATATCTACAAAGAATTTAAATCGCCTAAAAATCTAATCTTTTCATTCTGATAGAAAAGCATTAAAAGATCATCCCCGAAAAGCATAATTTATTACGTTTCAGGATAACTCATGTTGTTTGAAAGTCAAAACATGCCCAAATTTGGTCGAGCTTGGTCGAAAGATATCTTGCTTGCCTCGAGCACGTTTTTTTTTGGTCGAGCACGATCGAAACTTATCGAATTTCGGTCGAGCACGGTCAAAATATACCGATTTTTGATCGAGATGGTCGAAATATAAAGTGAGCACCACGACCCAGGGACTCTTCCTTCATCTAAATGTTTCTTAATTAATGAAAGTAATTAAAATGTGACTGAGCAAGAAAATTGAACTCATTGTTTTGTAGTTTAGAAGAAATAAGAATAGGTAACATAACTTGAATATGGGTTCATCGACTGTTTCAGTTCCTTCAGAAATTCAGAATTTCTAGTGGGCATTAGTGCTACATTACTGCATTAGTGAAAAACCGATGAACCTATAATCAAGATACTTGCGAAAAAGTTTAATTTTTTTCTTGGCTCGCATTCTGATTTTCAGCAGTGGTACAGCCACGAAATGAAAATATGTTATAACTAATAATTTTTTCTCAGTAGTTGTATATTATTCAAATGTTTGTAATTTTATTATTCTTCTCGAAAAACAGGACTGAAATCCACTGAAGATCGATTTTGAGATTCAAATTTTAAGTTGAAAGTTTAGCATCCTGTTTCTTCCTCCGCAAATTTGTTCCGCAAATTTTCAATTTGAATTCAAGATTTTTAAATTACATGAATTAGAAACAATAACTTTAATAACTGCACGAAAAAAATTTTGAGGAAGGAGGGAGCTAAGATCCTAAGTTTTTCACTTAGACGCATTGACTCTTTTAATCAAAGTTCCGTGTATTTCAGTCAAGTTTTCCAAGCAGAATCTAATGAAAAAAGAATTTTTTGATGAAAGCAACTTGGATGGAATTTAGTTTTTTTTTTCAATTCTGGTATGGAATTTGGTATGAAATTTAGGTATGGAATTTAGTATTTTTTCAATTCTTTTGAAACGCTTTGAAAAGTGTTTTCTCTTTTCTCCAAATTTTTAGTTTTCGAAGAAAAAACGGTTTCACCGGTTTGTAAAAAAAATTTGTATCACTGAAATGACCGCCCACTTTCCTGTGAGCCTGCATAATCCATTATTCTCTTTTTACTGTACCCACTTTCTACATCCTTCGAATAAATCGGTGGAGGAGTGTTTGATTCGTGTTTTCAGATTTTTTTTGTAAAAAACTAAAAACTACCAAACTATGAGATTTTGGGTTCAATAAAAAACAAGTAAAGACATGGAAACCTCTTTTTTGGAAATTTTATGACTTTTCCCGAAAACTATTGTGTCAGTTATCAGATTACTAGTTCATTCGAAATAACAAGTTGAGGTTTTCTTGCTGCAAGCCGTTACTCCCTATTCTCTGTAGAATAAAATTATAGCCATCAGAAAAGTCAAGTTTCATGTTTTATGTGACCGTTTTTTCGAATTTGTTGACTTTTCTTAGAAGATATCCGAGAGATTAATTATTCAATCTAAGGGACCGGTTGCAACTATTTTTCCTGTAGAAGCGGCGAATCTTCAAACTTTGTCTTAAGTCCTAGGGAAATTTCCAATATCTGAACTTTTCAGCGCTTTCCCAGTTTTAGCCAATAATTTCACTCTTCTAGAAAAATATCCTGGCAATACTGAGATTTAGCGTTCACTCGAAAAATCAGGTTACTGGTTGATTCAAAAGAACAGGTTGTGAGAAAAATCATCTCCCCAGCCAAATTTCTTTTCATTTGAAAGAACGGGTACTATATTTAATATGTATCTCTCCTATATAAGCGGTTAATCGCTTGTTTTAATGGAGTAACCACTGAACTTTTTGGTTACAAAAACTTTTTGAAATTTTGAAAATTACGCATGTCATCCCGCATCAGTTAAAGATTCCAAAAAATATCAAACAGTTAACTCCAGGTAGCTACAAAATATTTGCTTATGGCTGCGCCACTCCTGGATTCAAAAATGCGACCCTCAAGTTCTAGTTATCATCATTGCAGATATATTCACATGATCACCTCACCCAGAGTTGCGAAGTTTAGTTACACTGTTAAGTTAGTTATAAGTTATATTACTTCTGTATCTTACCTCTACTATTTCAGCGAAGTTCCATCTAATGAACACGTACAGCTGCACAGACAGCAACACCACGCCCAGGACCTGAAAAAGAGACATAAATTTACCTCTTTGATAAAGATAGGAAAAAATGGAACTCTAATAGTATTTCGGTACCCGGGTCGACGTCTGCGATTTACGTTTTGGCCGACTCGACCAAAAATCGGCATATTATTTGGACCACCTCGATCCAAGCTTGATAAGTTTTGACTATGTTTCAAAAATGTTCAAACCTTCCGATTGAAGAAAAGCAAACAATTTCGAACATAATCTACCGAGGAGAAACGGTTTAACCGAGTTCAGCCAAGTGGTTTTTTCCACCGAAAAAAGTTAGACCGAGGAAAAACAATTCGACCGATTTCGACCAAGAATTATTTTCGACCGAAAAATGTTAGACCGAGAAAAAACATTTCGACGGATTTCGAAAATGGAGTACTTTCGACCAATAAAGATAGAACAGAGAAAAACAGTTCGACTGAGTTCGACCAAGGAGTACTTACGACCGAAAAAAGTTAAAGTGAGAAAAACAATGCAACCGAGTTCGACCAAGAGATATTTTTGACCGAAAAATGTTAAAGTGAGGAAAAACAATGCAACCGAATTCGACCAAGAAAAAGTTAGACCGAGGACAAACATTTCGACCGAGTTCAACCGGTGACAACCTCCTGACTTTGTCCGGCTGCGGAATTTCAGTTCGACTGAAATCGATCAAGAAAAATTGTTAACCAAATTACCTTTTATGATTTTTGTTTTCGCGTACGTTTTGAGATTTTGAGTCTTTTTTGTACAGATCAAACACACGACAGTTACTGGGTGTGTCATAGCAGAAATTTTTGGTTAAAAATAAATTAATATTTAAATGTGAGTTTTTGTTTTAATTTTGCTTAAAATGTTCAACTAACAAATAATCAATTTTTATATAAACTTTCTGAAAACTATTATTTGCTACCAAAGGAGGCCTTTTATCTCAATCTAAGGGACCGGTTGCAACAATTTTTCCTGTAGAAGCGTTGAATCTTCAAACTTTGTTCATGTCCTAGGGATATTTCCAATATCTGAACTTTTCAGCGGTTTCCCAATTTTTGGCCAATAATTTCACTTCACGAAAAAATCCTTGCAAGACTGAGATTAAGCGCTCACTAGAAAAACAGGTTACTGGTTGGTTCAAAAAAACATGTTGTGAGAGAAATCATCTCTCCGACCAACTTTCTTTTCATTTGAAAGAACGGGTATTAGATATAATAGGTATCTCCCCTACATAAGCGGTTAATCGCTTGTTTTAATGGAGTAACAACTGAAAAATTAGAACATTTCGACGGCGGTCAAAAAAAATGTGTTTTTGACCGGAAAAGATAAACCAAGGAAAAACATTTCGACGGAGTTCGACCAAGAATTATTTTCAACCGAAAAATGTTAGACCGACGAAAAACATTTCGACGGAGTTCAAAAAAGGAGTACTTTTGGCCAAAAAAGATAGAACAGAGAAAAACAGTTCGACTGAACTTGATCAAGGAGTACTTACGACCGAAAAAAGTTGAAGTGAGGAAAAACAATGCAACTGAGTTCGACCAAGAAATATTTTTGGCCGAAAAAAAATAGACCGAGAACAAACGTATGACCGAGTTTGACCAAGAAGTAGTTGCAACCGAAAAAGTAAGACCGAGTTCGACCGGTGACAATCTTCTGACCTTTTCCGTCTGAGGAAATTCAGTTCGACTGAGTTCGATCAAGAAAAATTGTTAACCAAATTACCTTTATAATTTTTGTTTTCGCATATATTTTGAGTTTTTGAGTCATTTTTGTACAGATCAAACACACATAAGTTACTGGATGTGTCATAGCAGAAAGTTTTGAATGAAAAAATATTCTTTAAAAGTGAGTTTTTGTTTTAATTTAGCTTAAAATGTTTAGGTAACAAATAATTATTTTTGATATAAACTTTCTGAAAACTATTATCGGCTACCACAGGAGCCCTTTTATCTCAATTTAAGGGACCAGTTGCAACAATTTTTCCTATAGAAGCGGCAAATCTTCAAACGTTGTTTATGTCCTAACGAAATTTCCAATATCCGAATTTTTCAGCAGTTTCCCAGTTTTAGCCAATAATTTCACTTCTCAAAAAAATCCTGGCAATACTGAGATTTAGCGCTCACTAGATAAAACAGGTTTCTGGTTGATTCAAAAGAACTTGTTGTGAGAGAAATCATCTCCCCGACCAACTTTTTTTCATATGAAAGAACGGTTATTAGATATAATAGGTATCTCCCCTACATAAGCGGTTAATCGCTTGTTTTAATGGAGTAATAACTGAAATGTTAGAACATTTCGACAGAATTCAAAACAGGAGTTTTTTTGACCGAAAAAGATAGAACAAGGGAAAACAGTTCGACTGAGCTCAACCAAGGAGTATTTTCGACCGAAAAAAGTTAGACCGAGAAGAAACATTTCGACCGAGCTCGACCAAGAAGTATTTGCAACCGAAAAAAGTAAGACCGAGGATAAACATTTCGACCAAGTTCGACCCTTGATAACCTTCTGACTTTGTCCGGCTGAGGAAGTTCAGTTCGACAGAGTTCGATCAAGAAGTATTGTTAACCAAATTACGTTTTATAATTTTTGTTTCCGCGTACTCCTTGAGTTTTTGAGTCATTTTTGTACAAATCAAACACACGGCAGTTACTGGGTGTGTCATAGCAGAAATTTTTGATTAAAATTAACTTAATAAGTGAAAGTGAGTTTCTGTTTTAATTTTGCTTAAAATGTTCATCTAACAAATAAGTAATTTTCTTATAAACTTTCTGAAAACTATTATTTGCTACCGCAGGAGCCCTTTTATCTTAATCTAAGGGACCGGTTGCAACAATTTTTCCTGTAAAAGCGGAGAATATTTAAACTTTGTTTTATGTCTTAGGCAAATTTCCAATATCTGAACTGTTCAGCGGTTTCCCAGTTTTAGTCAATAATTTCATTTCTCGAAAAAATCCTGGCAATTCTGAGATTTAGCGCTCACATGAAAAAGAGGTTTTTGGTTGGTTCAAAAGAACATGTTGTGAGAGAAATCATCTCCCCAACCAAATTTCTTTTCATTTGAAAGAACCTGTACTAGATATAATAGGTATCTCTCCTACATTAGCGGTTAATCGCTTGTTTTAATGGAGTAACAACTGAAATATTAGATTATTTCGACTGAGTTCAAAAAAAGGAGTGTTTTTGACCAAAAAATATAGACAAAGGAAAAACTGTTCGAATGAGCTCAACCTAGGAGTATTTTCGACCGAAAAAAGGTAGAGTGAGGAAAAACAATGCGAACGAGTTCGACCAAAAAGTACTTTCGACTGAAAAAAGTTAGACCGAGGAAACAAAATGCGACCGAGTTCGACCAAATTTTTTTTCGACTGAAAAAAGTTAGACCGAAAAAACCTTTCGACGGAGTTTGAAAAAGGAGTACTTTTGACCGAAAAAACTTAAAACAATGAAAAACAGTTCGACTGAGCTCGACCAAGGAGTACTTTCGACCGAAAAAAATTAAAACGAGGAAAAACAATGCGACCGAATTCGACCAAGTAATATTTTCGACCGAAAAAAGGTAGAGTGAGGAAAAACAATGCTAACGAATTCGACCAAGAAATATGTTCGACCGAAAAACGTTTCGCCGCAATTCGATCAAGAAGTATTTGCAACCGAAAAAAATAAGACCGAGGATCGAAAAAGGAGTGTTTTTGACCGAAAAAGATAGACCAAGGAAAAACAGTTTGAATGAGCTCAACCAAGGAGTATTTTCGACCGAAAAAAGGTAGAGTGAGGAAAAACAATGCTAACGAGTTCGACCAAGAAATATGTTCCACCGAAAAACGTTAGACCGAGAACAAACGTTTCGCCGCAATTCGATCAAGAAGTATTTGCAGCCGAAAAAAGTAAGACCGAGAATCGAAAAAGGAGTGTTTTTGACCAAAAAAGTTAGACCAAGGAAAAACAGTTCGAATGAGCTCAACCAAGGAGTTTTTTTTACCGAAAAAAGGTAGAGTGAGGAAAAAAAATGCTAACGAGTTCGACCAAGAAATATTTTTGACCAAAAAAAGTTAGACCGAGAACAAACGTTTCGCCGGAATTCTATCAAGAAGTATTTGCAACCGAAAAAATTAAAACCGAGGATAAACATTTCGACCGAGTGACAACCTTCTGTTTTTGTCCAGCTGAGGAAGTTCAGTTCGGTTGAGTTCGATCAAGAAGTATAGCTAACCAAATTACGTTTTATATTTTTTGTTTTCGCGTACTTTCTGAATTTTTGAGTAATTTTTGTACAGATCAAACACACGGCAGTTACTGGGGTGTCATAGCAGAAATTTTTGATTAAAATTAAATCAATATTTGTAAGTGAGTTTTTGGTTTTTGTTTTAATTTTGCTTAAAATGTTTAACTAACAAAAAATTAATTTTTATATAAACTTTCTTAAAACTATTTTTTGCTACCGCAGGAGCCCTTTCATCTCAAATTGTTGAAGGAAAACTTTTCAAAAATTTTATTTTGCGGTAAAGTAATCTTCTTGAGTAATTGATGGTAATCTCAGTATTCTGAATGGAGATTTGCCATTGAGCAGAAAATTTTTAGCTCAAATTTCGTCCAACAAAAATTTAGGAACTTTACACATTTTTCTGTTTTGATTAATTTGACTTTATGTTTCAATTTTGTGTTCGATTTTATCTGGTATCTGTTAGACCCGCCTCGGTCGAAACAATTTGCAAGACTGGATCCTGGGTAACTATCGTATCTAGTCAAAACTTTCTAACTTGATAAAAAATATAGCGCAAACTTTGGTTTTACTAAGCAGAAAATTATGTCACCCTTGCTACAATGAGTTCGATTTTCGAAGAAAATGAAAGAATACGTAATTTTTTCTACTTCAGGCCAGTTTTTATATTTACCTAACTATTTTTGTCGAAAACACTTAATATTATCTAGAAAATTTTGATGCTTTTTAATTATTCCAAGTAGCTTGTTACTATGAGAAGATATATCATTTTGTGCATAATATTGCGTAAAAGGTGAGGACTAAACTACAAGTTTGAAAGTGAAGTCAGTTTTCAAGTTTTTTTTATTTTTTTTTTCAAAAAAGAAAGCAGATAACTTAACATACAGACGGAATATTCAAGCATTGTTCCTGAATCGATCAGTTTTGTATTGCAATTGAAATTTTTTAAGGAGTCCAATAAAAGATAAGAAACCTACACAAAATTTTGTCAAATATTATTGAAAAAGTGTTCAAAGACAAATCGTTTTGGTCGTTGGAGCAAACTTAACAAATTTTTTCTGTTTTCTGAAGTTTTTGTTCTCACGTTTGTGTTTCTTTTTGCGTCTGGGTTTACTTTTTTGACAACGCAATTTGCATTTTGCCTCTTGTTTTCATAGTTTGTGTGTAGAATCCGAGGTTTGACTTCAAATATGAACATAATTGCGCCGTTTTTAATCCTAATCAAGTAGAAACAATGGCTAGCCATTGTCTTTTAAAAATGAAAGATCCAGAAGACTAAATAAATAAAAACAGTTTCCGGTTTCTTAACGATTTCCATTTCATGTAAGCTTCTTATTTTTTATTAGACTCCTTAAAAAAACTCTAATGCAAAACAAAACTGATCGAATCAGGAAAAATTCTTGAATATTCGGTCTGTATATGAAGTTATCTGCTTTATACTGCAAAAAGCCTCAAATTATCTCTATTTCTTGGAAAAACAACAACAATTTCAAATGATCAAACTTAATACTTGAACAAACCACAAAAAGTCAAAAAGTGATAGCAAAAATGATCAAAACTCTTTTTGAAGGAATGGAACGAAATCGAAGAAAAAGTCCGAATGAAAACTGTATCGGAATAAAAACTGTATCGATGAACATCAGAGTCAGGCCTGGCGCTTAAATTTTTTGAAGGGTAGGTTTACTTCAAGAAAGGACGAAATTTCTGACCTTTTTTCTTTGTCGAACAAATTGATTTTCCGAACTTTTCCGAAACACTAAAGAGGATATTTTTGTGAACATTTTATGTGTCACAGGCGAGTTTAAAAAACATCAAAATGCCCTTTTTTTGTTTTTTGAAAAGCTTTTTGAGTCAGTCAAATGAAAATGGATGGCGTATGAGTTTTTTCGTTTTTTGAAAAGCTTTTTGAGTCAGTCAAATGAAAATGGATGGCGTAATTTAGTACCAAATGGCTGCCCTTTGACAGGTCCAGGGGTCAGAACCCTGACGATTGAACAGTCCGCACAACTTTAGAAAGAGGAAAGAAAGAAAGCGGAGTTTTCCATCAAAAAGTTAGACTAACCAGCAAAGTGAGAACGGCGGAGCTCAGAGCCAACTTGATAAGCAGTAGTCTCAACCTCTCTATCATTTCCAACTCAGAAAATCAGAAAAATCAACTTATTATAGGAAACAAACAGCGAAAAAAATATAGCGAAGATAATTTTAATGTCCAATCAATAACCAAACTGGTCTAAAAGTTTTTTTTTTTAGTTTTTTTTTTGTAAAATTGAAGCTCGATACTGAACAAGATTTTAGCTGAAGAGTGTTATTATCATACATAAAGGTTATAAAAGCTAAATCAAATGAAATAAAAACGGTATCAATTTGATGAATAGCGAAATTACGTTGCGTTTGCGGTGAAAAGAGTTGAATATATTTCCAAAATGATGAAAAATTTATACAATACAGGTGATTTTGAGCCGGTCAGCTCAGCGTATATAGAACACGATAGCAAGACGCTAGCCACTCAAAAGCCGTTCGTTTGAAAAACATTTGCATCAAATCAAAGCTTTAAACAGAAAAATCAAAGTCTTAAGCAGGAAAAATATTCAAATAGTTTACAAGAACAGACAAATCTGACAATTAATCCACGCGGGAAAAAAGCAAAACTGCGAACAGTTTAACTTCTTACTCGGGTCGAGGTTTGCGATTTATGTTTTGACCGAGGCGGGTCGAACACATGTCAGAATTCGACCGAAAATCCATAGTCGAGAAGGCCCTATGGTCGAACTGTTTTTTCTCGGCTGAACTTCTTCTCGGACGAAAAAACTCTTTGGTCGAACTCGGTCGAAACGTTTTTCCTCGGTCGAACTCGGTCAAAAAGTTTTTCCCTCGGTCGAACATAGTCGAAACATAGACAGCTTGGGTCGAGTCGGTCGAAATATACAATTTTTTGGTCGAGTCGGTCGAAACATAAATCGCAAACCTTTTGCTGACTTTGTTTGAGATCTGTAATAACTTCTGGATCTCTATGCCTCACCCTGAAGCTATGAGCACTATGGGGAAGGTAGACCTCAAACCACCCATTCTTCTGCTGAGAGGTGTGTATCTCATAACTACACCGCGGCATCCTTGAAATAAACGGTGCATAACTGTCTTGGTACAAGTTAAACACCGGATTTAAGTCTTTTTTGCCTACAAAATTGCTGAGGTTATGTTACCCTCTCAGAGAAGGTATCCGAACGTCTGTCAAGGAAAATCTGATTAGACAATTCCAATGGAAATTGCTCAAAAAATTGCTATCATAGACAGTGCTGTAGCAAATGAATGTGAAAACTGTTTTTTTTTTACCAAGTTTCAATTTTTTTCTATAGCTGGCGAAAACCTTGATAACTCAGTACGAATACGAGTATAAATAAAAAAGAAAGATAGTATGAAAAATTTCCTCCAAAAATAGTCTGCTTTCGGTTTTTGAAGGATACATTTTTAATAATATCGGATGCGGAAAATTTGACTATATATATATAGACAGTTTTATCGGGCATTGAGAATGTTTAACTGTCTATTTTATTTCAAAAAGTAGAATATGTTCAAACCTTCCGATTGAAGAAAAGCAAACAATTTCGAACATAATCTACCGAGGAGAAACGGTTTAACCGAGTTCAGCCAAGTGGTTTTTTCCACCGAAAAAAGTTAGACCGAGGAAAAACAATTCGACCGATTTCGACCAAGAATTATTTTCGACCGAAAAATGTTAGACCGAGAAAAAACATTTCGACGGATTTCGAAAATGGAGTACTTTCGACCAATAAAGATAGAACAGAGAAAAACAGTTCGACTGAGTTCGACCAAGGAGTACTTACGACCGAAAAAAGTTAAAGTGAGAAAAACAATGCAACCGAGTTCGACCAAGAGATATTTTTGACCGAAAAATGTTAAAGTGAGGAAAAACAATGCAACCGAATTCGACCGAGAAAAAGTTAGACCGAGGACAAACATTTCGACCGAGTTCAACCGGTGACAACCTCCTGACTTTGTCCGGCTGCGGAATTTCAGTTCGAGTGAAATCGATCAAGAAAAATTGTTAACCAAATTACCTTTTATGATTTTTGTTTTCGCGTACGTTTTGAGATTTTGAGTCTTTTTTGTACAGATCAAACACACGACAGTTACTGGGTGTGTCATAGCAGAAATTTTGGGTTAAATAAATTTATATTTAAATGTGAGTTTTTGTTTTAATTTTGCTTAAAATGTTCAACTAACAAATAATCAATTTTTATATAAACTTTCTGAAAACTATTATTTGCTACCAAAGGAGGCCTTTTATCTCAATCTAAGGGACCGGTTGCAACAATTTTTCCTGTAGAAGCGTTGAATCTTCAAACTTTGTTCATGTCCTAGGGATATTTCCAATATCTGAACTTTTCAGCGGTTTCCCAATTTTTGGCCAATAATTTCACTTCACGAAAAAATCCTTGCAAGACTGAGATTAAGCGCTCACTAGAAAAACAGGTTACTGGTTGGTTCAAAAAAACATGTTGTGAGAGAAATCATCTCTCCGACCAACTTTCTTTTCATTTGAAAGAACGGGTATTAGATATAATAGGTATCTCCCCTACATAAGCGGTTAATCGCTTGTTTTAATGGAGTAACAACTGAAAAATTAGAACATTTCGACGGCGGTCAAAAAAAATGTGTTTTTGACCGGAAAAGATAAACCAAGGAAAAACATTTCGACGGAGTTCGACCAAGAATTATTTTCAACCGAAAAATGTTAGACCGAGGAAAAACATTTCGACGGAGTTCAAAAAAGGAGTACTTTTGGCCAAAAAAGATAGAACAGAGAAAAACAGTTCGACTGAACTTGATCAAGGAGTACTTACGACCGAAAAAAGTTGAAGTGAGGAAAAACAATGCAACTGAGTTCGACCAAGAAATATTTTTGGCCGAAAAAAATTAGACCGAGAACAAACGTATGACCGAGTTTGACCAAGAAGTAGTTGCAACCGAAAAAGTAAGACCGAGTTCGACCGGTGACAATCTTCTGACCTTTTCCGTCTGAGGAAATTCAGTTCGACTGAGTTCGATCAAGAAAAATTGTTAACCAAATTACCTTTATAATTTTTGTTTTCGCATATATTTTGAGTTTTTGAGTCATTTTTGTACAGATCAAACACACATAAGTTACTGGATGTGTCATAGCAGAAAGTTTTGAATGAAAAAATATTCTTTAAAAGTGAGTTTTTGTTTTAATTTAGCTTAAAATGTTTAGGTAACAAATAATTATTTTTGATATAAACTTTCTGAAAACTATTATCGGCTACCACAGGAGCCCTTTTATCTCAATTTAAGGGACCAGTTGCAACAATTTTTCCTATAGAAGCGGCAAATCTTCAAACGTTGTTTATGTCCTAACGAAATTTCCAATATCCGAATTTTTCAGCAGTTTCCCAGTTTTAGCCAATAATTTCACTTCTCAAAAAAATCCTGGCAATACTGAGATTTAGCGCTCACTAGATAAAACAGGTTTCTGGTTGATTCAAAAGAACTTGTTGTGAGAGAAATCATCTCCCCGACCAACTTTTTTTCATATGAAAGAACGGTTATTAGATATAATAGGTATCTCCCCTACATAAGCGGTTAATCGCTTGTTTTAATGGAGTAATAACTGAAATGTTAGAACATTTCGACAGAATTCAAAACAGGAGTTTTTTTGACCGAAAAAGATAGAACAAGGGAAAACAGTTCGACTGAGCTCAACCAAGGAGTATTTTCGACCGAAAAAAGTTAGACCGAGAAGAAACATTTCGACCGAGCTCGACCAAGAAGTATTTGCAACCGAAAAAAGTAAGACCGAGGATAAACATTTCGACCAAGTTCGACCCTTGATAACCTTCTGACTTTGTCCGGCTGAGGAAGTTCAGTTCGACAGAGTTCGATCAAGAAGTATTGTTAACCAAATTACGTTTTATAATTTTTGTTTCCGCGTACTCCTTGAGTTTTTGAGTCATTTTTGTACAAATCAAACACACGGCAGTTACTGGGTGTGTCATAGCAGAAATTTTTGATTAAAATTAACTTAATAAGTGAAAGTGAGTTTCTGTTTTAATTTTGCTTAAAATGTTCATCTAACAAATAAGTAATTTTCTTATAAACTTTCTGAAAACTATTATTTGCTACCGCAGGAGCCCTTTTATCTTAATCTAAGGGACCGGTTGCAACAATTTTTCCTGTAAAAGCGGAGAATATTTAAACTTTGTTTTATGTCTTAGGCAAATTTCCAATATCTGAACTGTTCAGCGGTTTCCCAGTTTTAGTCAATAATTTCATTTCTCGAAAAAATCCTGGCAATTCTGAGATTTAGCGCTCACATGAAAAAGAGGTTTTTGGTTGGTTCAAAAGAACATGTTGTGAGAGAAATCATCTCCCCAACCAAATTTCTTTTCATTTGAAAGAACCTGTACTAGATATAATAGGTATCTCTCCTACATTAGCGGTTAATCGCTTGTTTTAATGGAGTAACAACTGAAATATTAGATTATTTCGACTGAGTTCAAAAAAAGGAGTGTTTTTGACCAAAAAATATAGACAAAGGAAAAACTGTTCGAATGAGCTCAACCTAGGAGTATTTTCGACCGAAAAAAGGTAGAGTGAGGAAAAACAATGCGAACGAGTTCGACCAAAAAGTACTTTCGACTGAAAAAAGTTAGACCGAGGAAACAAAATGCGACCGAGTTCGACCAAATTTTTTTTCGACTGAAAAAAGTTAGACCGAAAAAACCTTTCGACGGAGTTTGAAAAAGGAGTACTTTTGACCGAAAAAAGTTAAAACAATGAAAAACAGTTCGACTGAGCTCGACCAAGGAGTACTTTCGACCGAAAAAAATTAAAACGAGGAAAAACAATGCGACCGAATTCGACCAAGTAATATTTTCGACCGAAAAAAGGTAGAGTGAGGAAAAACAATGCTAACGAATTCGACCAAGAAATATGTTCGACCGAAAAACGTTTCGCCGCAATTCGATCAAGAAGTATTTGCAACCGAAAAAAATAAGACCGAGGATCGAAAAAGGAGTGTTTTTGACCGAAAAAGATAGACCAAGGAAAAACAGTTTGAATGAGCTCAACCAAGGAGTATTTTCGACCGAAAAAAGGTAGAGTGAGGAAAAACAATGCTAACGAGTTCGACCAAGAAATATGTTCCACCGAAAAACGTTAGACCGAGAACAAACGTTTCGCCGCAATTCGATCAAGAAGTATTTGCAGCCGAAAAAAGTAAGACCGAGAATCGAAAAAGGAGTTTTTTTGACCAAAAAAGTTAGACCCAGGAAAAACAGTTCGAATGAGCTCAACCAAGGAGTTTTTTTTACCGAAAAAAGGTAGAGTGAGGAAAAAAAATGCTAACGAGTTCGACCAAGAAATATTTT